GAAAGAGTGAATGGACAACAATCGACTCAGAAGCCACCAGAAGATTCTGCCTGCAGCAGACTAGCTCCGTAAAGGCAAAGCACGCCCTTCAGTCCTCCGCCATGTAGAGGCTGCTTAAGCCAAATCCCAGGCTTTGAAAGTCACTCGTTGCTATTCCAAGAAAGCCTTCATGGAGGTCAAGGAGTAAGACATTGTGGATAGATCTTATATTCACACTGCTTAGAATAGCACTGAACCAGACTGCCAGATTTATTTTCAGACTGCTTTATATACATATATGTGCAGTAGAAGCCCAGCAGTTATACTATGCTTTGTTGCAAGTCTCACTACCCACAGAAAAACGTGGTGGTTTCTCACAGCCTTCCAGCAATGATTTAATAATAGATGCTATGACTTTTCATGATTAAATCCCATGAATCTACAAAATACACTCCATTCTATTTACTAATATGGTACAATGGGCATATATTCTCAAAAAGCATTTGAAACTGAGGAACAAAAAAAGAAAAAATGAACCAAGTATGTAAAGCTTTTGGTTTTCTTTTCTTTCTCTGCATAAGCACCAGGTCTCCTGACTCTAGTGTGGATTATCAAGGTCTTGCTGCAACTAATCTATCTATGACATCAAAAAAAATGATTAAAATTAACATCAACACTTCCAAGATTAGTGCTAGAAGTTCATTAGACTAGACTGCATGAGTACGACTGGGATTTGCTCTGCTATTGTGTCTAATTATTCGTGATGGTTTCTCCTTCCTGTTATGAGCTTGTTTAGACAGAAAAAGAGAGAGCAAGAAAGAGGACGAAGGAAGGGGGATGGTGAAGATTTGCTTAAATGGCTCACATCCTTGACAGTGCACAGACCTCGACTATAGAAAATAGCTGCTATGTTTCACTGATTGCATTATGTTGTTATGGCAACTGAAGTTTTTAAAATGATGAAAAGAAATGGATAGCACATAAAAAGCTAAGTAATTAGGCTTAATGGTTGAAACAGCCCCAACAGGAACAGAAATGCCACAGAGAAAAAGGAATCAATCTCTTAACTTCTTGAGTGTGCACTTTAAAGAGATGTCCCTTTCCCACAAAGTTTCCCCTCTGTTCTCTCGCTCTGGCCAGTCCAGTCCAGAGAACAGCTGATTAATCCAGTCTTAGTCTGTGATGGAGCCATTTGTTGCCTAGTCTCAGCATCGCTTCTTACACAGTGAAAGGTGGAGCAGATACTGAGAACAGTTTCCCTCAGTTGTTTGCCTTGTTTATTTTTCACAGTGCTAAAGGACCACTGGTGGGTTCCCTTTAACTTGTCTGTCCCAAAGCCTCTCTGTCAGCATTCACAAGCTGCAACTCACCACCTTGCTCACAAGACTTGTAACTGTAAACCTGTCATCACCTCCATTAAACTGGGGGTGCTGCGTTCACAAACAAGTCACCATCACACAGACTTTCCCTGGGCTATTGTCACAGGATCCTGGCGTCCCCTGAAGAGGATACAAGACCATGGACAGTGGAAAATACATCTCTAGAGGTGCCTGCTATCCTAAAGCACTGATGCCTGAAAGAGGGCAGATGATAGAGAAGGAGGGGAAGCTATTGCACAGCAACCTGGAAGCTGAAAGCAATCCTTGCAGGGGCAAGGATCTTTTTGATGGGGAAGGTGTACAACAGCGAACCTTCATCTTCTGTCTTTCTACAAGGAGCTGGAGAGCATTGGATTAGAAATTGGAAGAGCAACAAAGTGTCGTAGATGGACAACTACTGTATGTGAAGAAAGATGTAGCAGTTTGGATATGGTGCTATGAAAGAAGAATATTAAGCCAATAAACATGACGAATATTGCATCAGTATTCCTCTCTTCTTCAGTAGAAATGCCTGTAATCACACATTTATGAGTATCCACACTGCTTGCCCTTTGCTGCTACCCTTGGCTGCCAGTTGGGAAGAGATATATATTCTCTACCTCTGACAGTTATTACATTTTATAAAGAAAAATCAAGCCACTAAAGAGTTTTCTGACAAGTGATAAGGTCTAGCTATTCTTTTACAGTCCTTTCCTTACATAAGCGGCTGAGCTGCTCAACTGGAAATATTTGCTCTTGGCTGACACTTGACATGGGAAGGCTGAGCTGTAGAACCGGAAAGGTCTTTTTCTGTGCAATCTCTGCTATTTATTGTTTTAGAATGGGCATATTTTTCACCAGTTTGATTGAAGGCTTGTCAAAGCAGGGACCATGAGGAATCTTCTGCTTCCAAGTCTTTTAATTCCTTGGTTACAATAAGAAAATCAAGTAAATATGCTTGGTTAATAAAAAAGTGACCCCAAACCCAAACCTTGCCAGAGAAAGGGACTGTAGCAGGATACTAAACTAATTTCATGGATGGGAAACCAACAAGGACCAGAGCTATGGTCCTGCCAGGCCTTACACCAGTTCTTAGCACTACTAGAATGTGTCATCCACCAAAGTCAGCTGGAATATTCCAGTAACAGAGCAAAAGCACATGGGTAAATATTCGCAAGATTAGGGCCTAAGTGATTAGCCTCTCTGTTC